ACGCTTTTATCAATGAAGTTTCACGTGTGGGCGCAGCTAACGCAGCCATGATGCATAATTACGCGAGTCACAGCTCGAAAGGATAAGGACAGAGGCGCTCTACCAGTCGATTTCATTATACAATTTTTTTCTTTTGCGTAAGGAGCTAGAAGCTATCGAGAAAAACTGCGACGTCATGTGCAGAGATGTTGCCGATGATCTGCGCAATAATTCACAGAACAGGTCCAATGACGGCGACACATTACCAGCCTCAATGTACAATTTACTGTGCTCAGACGAGACAAGAGTACAGGACGCCAGTACACAAACGTAGAGAGCCAATCGTATGTTGTCTTGAACTGAAAAAAAACACATAGCCGGACATGTAATTTCTAGATGCGCAGCTTTTCTGATGATATATCATCAATTACCAAGCAGAGAAGGCCAGACATACGGAAACATAAGGCTTTGAGGGATGGAGCTCGGGTGAGTCGACAATCAACTACTGCACCTACGCCAAGCATCTCTGCAGGTGCATTGTTTAGTCTCACGGAAATCATGCGCAGTTAAAAAAAAAGAACTGTTCGCCCGGTCTCAGTTGATTCAGTATTTACAATTGCGTGACGCAGATGATAACAACAAGGCCAATGGATGCTGAACACAGGTGCCGAGATCCCTATGATTTTTCTTTGCTTTAAGTTTAGAGGTGTGAATAGTTTGAGTCATTGCAGCAGCAGAATTATTAAAAGACCATCCAGTCTTTTACAAGCCGGTCGTTGCACACGTAGTTTCGGCTTGAGCAGAACCAGTCATTCCCTCAGCTTTCAATAGCTATCCCAATTCGAATCCGATTTCTTTGTCAGGGACCAAGATGAATGCCACAGTCAGACAGTTATCTCGAAGCAATGAATCAATGTGTTGCGAGCGTTTCAGGTCGGCATGAACAGGTTCTCACAGTACACCTGGTTCGTGGACGAAGACATGGAGCCTTTCGTCATATATCATTATTAGAAGAGTTTTCGTAGACTATCGTAGTGTGAGTTTCGACATGGCGCAAGAAGATAAACGATCATGGTCTTGCTTCAGGTTGACGCTGAGCCCTGCAATCACTCGCGCGGCAGAAAGACACTAGTCTGCAGATATAGAACGTTACATGAGTTGAATTTAAAATCCTTTTGTCAAAACCATTCACGCAGGGTTCGGTGGACTTCGCGACGGGGAACGCATTCAGCCGCAAGCTTGCATTGGAGTGCAACGATTTTATGGTTATTATTAAAAACGCAACTCAGGTGCGAGGCCGCATGCACGGCCGAGCCTGATCAGCTCCCCTCGTCGAAAAAAAGTTCCCGCAATGATCATCTTGCCTGCTTTGGTCTTCTTTTATGTGTAGACTGCATGATGTGCTGCGCTCTGCCAGGGTTTTTTAAGAGAAGATGGCCGCTGGCGGAAGAACAGGTCAGATGCCTAGAGAAGCTTGAATATTATAAGACTACGATAAATGCTTGTTGCGAATCCAAGGCCATGCACGGAAGCGGACACTGAGGACGGAATTGTTCAATGATCCAGCCAACTGCCTGAACCCTTTGCGCCTGTGGGTGCGCTTGCTGGCGTTGATTTAGTCTTGGTTACTTGCTCAGAATTGAACGTGAAGTTCAGGAGAAAAAGACCCACGTCCATGAAATCCTCACGACTTCTCTCCAGCCTCGATCCTGGCTGAGTCGATGTTGATCTTTGTTTTGATGCACCGCAGAAGTTGCTGTTGGCAGAGCACAGACCTTGGCATTTATTGTAGTGATACTCTGACTTGCAAGCAAGACAGTTCGAAGCAGGCCAACGAAGAGCTATCTGGATACATTGATCTTGGCAGAGTACGGACCTTGGTTGATGGTGCATGGATTTTTTTTTCACCTGCATGATTGTTACACGCAGATGCGCAATTAGGCAGAAGAACAGCAAGAATGACTTCGTTGTGAAGCCTCAGCCTTAAGCACGCGAGAAGATTAAGCCGCGTGTTTTTTTTTTATATCAGGCACTCGCCCGCGGGCTCGCAAGACTTCGCATTCAACGTGCACTTCCGTGCCAGGCGCAGCGTGGAGTCTGTTGATTGATTCATCCGGAAGTCAGCGTAGTAGCAAGCATCAATACAATCCGTTGTCAGGGTGAAGAAGTATCTTGCAGGAATTTACCTGAAGACGATCGAGGCTGTGAACGTGCGTGGAAAAGAATTCAAACGTACCAGTGTTTTGGATGGATGGATGGCACGCAGGGTACGGCTGCCAAAGGGTGCCTTCCCCTCCGCCGTCTCAGGGAGCCTCCGCAAGCGTCATCGGCAACCCTCCAGCAAAGGTTCGAGGTCCCTGACTGGCCACCCCACGCAAGCATCCATGAACTCCCCAGTGCCCGCACAGACGCCGAAGCGCACAGGCCAGACGGCAGTGGATCCTCGAACTGTATGCGAGCACAGGGGCCAGTAGTGAGTCCACGCATCCTCCATTCAAACCCTGCACTCTATAGGCAAAGGCCAGGAATTTCACTGCCAATGCCCAGAGTGAGTGCCCATAACAGTATGGGCTGCGAGGACAAGCCTGCGTGGCAACACTGCGCCAGCAGGCTGTGGAAGCAGCCCCTACCAGTGTTTTGAAGCAGGCCCACGACAGCGAGCAGAAGAAGATGATGGCCGTGCTGAACGCTAACTTGCCTGGTGACGTCCGATGTAGCGTAGCAGAAATGGTTTCTAAGTGCATCTTGCGGTTCAAGCTTTATGAGCTCAGGGAACTACATCGGCTTCGCGAAGAAGCAGACGACAGATATAGTGGAGACAATCTTCATGGAGCCATCTGGATGGTGTACTTTGTCTTGACTCAAACAAAATAAGAATATAGAATTTCCTGTAGCATGTCCATTGAGCCGACATGGTTGGATTATCACTTCCTGGTCAGGTGATCCGTTATTGCATTCGATTTGGAAGCGCAGCAGGGCTACCACGAGCAAGATTGGGGTGTCCAAGGCAGCCTGATGATCACAAAGAACGTTGAGCTGTAATTTGATGTGGTGTGAATACACTGTGCGGCGGAGTTGCTTAGTGACGCAGGACTTGCGATCCTGGACGCGGATCCACCGAGCCGCGTGGTACAAGGGCCATCGCTCCGGCAGAGGTTCCGTGAGTATAAGTTTCTGTTCTGCCTCTTTCAAGTCCTCGTCGCAGGTCCCAGACTTTTCGGCTCCTGCAGCAGCCTTCGTTTGCAGGATCTGCGATCAGGCTCCAACAGAATAAGTAAAGCCACCAGTAAATGATGCGCGTAGCCAAAGTCTGCTCGAAAGGCATGATGCCACTGCGCAGTGAAAACCATGGTGAAGGCCAGGAGACCGATTTTTCACGATTATAATACATATGTTTTTTTTCTCAATTACATATACATTCCGCAGGACAAGGCGATGTGTTCGAGGAAGTGTGTCTGATCGACAGTCTCAGATGCTTCGGTTTCAAGATCCCATACGTGGGCCACGGTCCCTACTGGGCCCTCGCCGATGGCAACCGCTTTTTGGCTCCTTTCAAGCCGCTACGCTGCATGTAATCATGAAGAGTCATGGCAAAATGGAACGCAGCAGCGCCTGAGGCATTGCCTCACATCTGTGCCTCTCCATTGCATGAGCCTTCATGGGAACTTCGTGGCCAATTTCAACAACCACTTCGTTGCCCTGCGAAGAAACTCAGACGGCTTCTGCATCAATCTGGGTCACAGAAAGCACGAATGGCAGCCTCTTTGTTTGAGCTTCCGAAATGAAGCAGTTCTTCAGTGGTCACGTGACTTTCTCTATCTGGAGCTCAACCCCAACAAGATTGAAGCTCTTTTCATAGTGCAGGCGGATGCTATATTCTTGTCAGATGTTATTCGGAGCGTGCTATGCTGTTACTTGGTGTGAGGCGTGCGATGCAGAAACTGTGGCGGACAGTGGTGATCTTTGCGGCGGTAGCAGAGAGCTCCTCGCATGCGTTTTTTTTTTAATTTTCTTTCGGGAGCTGATTATTTTTTTAACATGAAAGGAAGACACCGGTGATGACGACATTCCGAGAACATCCAGTCGATGCTGAAATTACTGCGACCGTGCTAAATCAGTTGAACAGAAAAACAATCGTTGTCATGCATTGTTAGGCTGCAAATGTATAGTTCTTGTAATGAAGGCTGGGGGAGCTTCAGTGCACAATCGGTGGCAGAGGAGAAACCGGCATGTGGCTGAAAGCAGGCGGGTAAAAAAATCAAAATCAAAAGCAGTACTACGCTTTCATGAAAGCTGTGCCAACAGGACAGGATCCGAACATGAAGCAAGCAGATGGGCGCGCCGTTTGGGAGTCGTGGAAGACGCACCGTGGAAGACAAGTTTGTTGAGGCAGTTTTTGGCTGACCTAGAACAGCACGGTGGCGAAATTCCTGAACCGCACACGTTGCCGCCTTTGTTTTCCAGCCAGCAGAAGGACATTTGTCTCGTTTCTTTTCACATACAAGTGTCAAGTTTTTGCAATTTTAAGACAGCCAGTTTGTGTTGATCATAACGATATTTCTTTCGCAGGAATGGCTTCTTCTCCGCAACGAAGAGGCGCAACGAAGGACTCAGGCGCAACGGCTTTGCCTTTTCCGACAATTGTCTTGATACTCCGCAGTATTCCGTCATACATCTTGCGTTTCACGTGAAATGCAAGCATGAAGGAGGAAATCGAGAGGAAAGAGCGTCGCAGAGAGAAGCAGGTGCGGTTGGCCTTGCATGCAAGTGCTTGCGCTGAGACTTTAGCTGAAACATGATTGTGTAGCGAGCGTGCGCGGTTTGTTTGCGCTGCTGCAGTGTGTTAATTCTTTCTTAATCATGATCAGGAGGCCAGGACGAGAGTAACAAACGAGAAGGACAACAAGGTGGACTCCAGTGACAAATAGATCATCTTAACAAGACACATTTGTTTTTCGAGTTAGTCATACAGGTTCGCGCGCCGTGTATGCGTGTATCGTTTCTTTATGTCATTCTGCAAGATGTGGCCGTTTCTGTGTCAGGTGGCCAGACTTCAGTGGCCTTCGAGCCACCTATTTGAGTCAGTTCCGATTCCAAATTGCACGCATCTGGAGCAATACACTCGGGATGGCGACTACGTGCTCATCCGGCGCAGGAACGTTGCTTTGCCGGAAGATTACGCAGCAACTCCGCCAGAAGACGGCTACACCATGCACCCTTTCTCTCCTCTACTCCGAAAATTTGGCTTCAAGGGAGGATTCGAAGGTGCAAACTGCCTGGTGTACCTGCCAGCTTATAAGGTCGCCTGCTGGGGAATTTCCACGCACGACGCGAATGCCTTGGCACATGATTTCGAGAATTTGCTGACGGATGCGGCCTTGGCACATGATTATGAGAAATCGCTGACAGATGCGGTTGGTGGGGCGTGGGACCAGTTTGCGGAAGAACTCCTCAGGGAAATCCCACTTTTTCTGTGGGTATACACAGACATACAATGTCTGGCGGCTTGCTCCATTCTCTTGCGAGATCTTGTATACCAAAAGAATTACTGGTCCGACAAGCACATCAGGCTGGATGTCCCTGAGCTTTGCCGCGACGGAGCACGCGCGCGCCGGGCACTGCACCGTTTTCGTCAAGCCAGGACTATCACCCTGGACATTCCGCAGCTTGCTTGGGCGGAGCGTGTGCCTCATCACTGCCTTGCTACATGGAGAGCACATCAACTCAGGCTGCCTGGCGATGAGGTCCAGGGGTGGGAGTCATCGCACCCTCTTTTTGGAGCAGCTAGATACTCTTTGACTTTACCTTCAAACGCCAGAACTGTGTACTTTGGCGTGAAGAGTGTTGCATCCGATCAGAGAGCCTACGTGATGGTGGAAAACCCACACGACACGGACTCCGAGATTTACGCTGGCCTGACAGGCAGTTCGCCTGTACGTCTTCCTGATTCCAAAGCTCACAAACTGCTCATGCCGCCAGGAACACCCAATGTAGTTCTTCTACGATGGAATGCACGCAGCATGCAGCTGGATGTGAACGGCAAGCTCCTTTGTCGGGCATGGCTGCATGCCGAAGCAGAGAACGCGCCGGCGCCGTTCTCATTCATTTTTGTATGGATTTTCTTGCGGCAAGAAAGAACACAGCAGCGGCCTGTCTTGCTGCCCATGCTGACTCCAGTGGCGTCTGACGTGCAGCCAAGGCCAATTCTGGTGTAGTGATTGGCTAAACAAATAACATATACCATGCTAAATAAACTTCGCGAAAAAAATGTCTGAGCACATAGCAACTTACTACATGGCGCTTTAATGCATAGTTGTCTGCTGAAGTAAGCCTCGCTCTTGCAGGCGCTTTACCTGCGGGTCGAACAAGCGCCGTGCAATTGTGCAGGTGGGCGATTTGTCCTATGTGCAGGAACTGGATGTGTGCCTCGCACAGGACTGAACACGCAGACGACGCAATTTGTCCTGTGTGTCGAAGAGTGCCACTGCGTTATTTCACCGGAGACGATGCCGTTGGTGGCAAGCACGTCGAAGATGCATCTGCAGAGGAGTTTCTACAATGGATGCGGCAGCAAGCGTGGTGGCAGCAGGAACCTCCGCAGCCGGTGCTGCTAACTCCTCAGCCAACTCGTCCCAATGCTGCACTTTTGCAAGAGCTGCTATTGAATCATGAGGCAGCAGAAGAACAGTCCGATGATGACAGCAGTATTTCGGATGACATTCAGACTGTCAGGACTAACCTTGCCTCGCGGTTTCTTGCAGTATCCTCTGACGCTGAAAACGCAGACAGCGTTGGAGGTGCGAATGTGCTTAGTCAAGCACAACGCAAGCGTTTGTCGGAATCTAGGCTGGAAGCTGTGCGAAGGAAAGGCAGAAGAATCGCCTGCATGGAAGGCCAGCTGCCAGTACTGCTTCATGCCAGTGAAGTTGAGGTGCCAGCAACCCCTGCTGCGCTGGACCTCACACAGGTGCCTAACGTGGATGTGCTCAAGTTTTTGCATCCTCATCCACGAGACTCGCGCGTGCATTTTCGCGCTGAGGACCATGTTTACTTCGTGGATGACAAAAGAACCAACGGCTCCGTCACCAGCATGATTCATTCCTTTTGCGCTGGATTCGATGAAGCCAAGGTGATCGATGCCATGATGAGCGGCCCTCGCTGGTATGGCGTGTCCGGAGCTGGTGGAACTTTACGCTGCCTCTCCTCGAGACGAAGCACAGATCAGCCAGGCACTGCGCAGGATCTATGGACTGACAGACCACATCTCAATGCTGTGCCTTTCAGCAGAAGAGATTCGCCTTCAATGGCAAGCCCACGGAGCAGAAGCATCGTTGTACGGGACCTGGATGCATTTTCTGTTTGAGGCACACTTGAACGGTCACAAGGTTCCGACCGCATCCCCCGAATTTCGTCTTTTACGATATTTTCTGCAGTGTGAGCCAAAATGCACGGCTTGGCGAACAGAATGGACTATTTTTGCAGAGGAGGAAAATTTGGCGGGATCCATTGACTTCTGCGCCAGACTTCCTGACGGCACATTTCTTCTTGCCGACTGGAAAAGGAGTGCCGAGCTACGACAGAAGTTTAGCTCCTCTATGAAGATGCGGCGCCCTTTGCAGCATCTAGACGACTGCGCCGGCATGCAGTACAGACTGCAGCTCAATGCCTACAGGTACATTTTAGAGAAGTACTATGACCTGTCCGTGTCGCGCATGCTCATTGTATGTTGTCATCCCGACAACGGCAGCAAGCCTTTTGTAGACGAAGTTCCACGCATGGAAGCGGCCACAGAAGCCATGATGCAGACTCGGAGAGATCAGGCGGGCGGTGCGCTTCCGGTGGAGGTCTTACAGGCTTTGCCGACCTTTTTTTTCTCTTGGTTCTACCTGAAGAATTTGGCATCTGTGTCCACGCAAATGAAGGCGGTTGTTTGTGATTGCAAGCAGTGGCGCGAACTGGATCTGTCCATAAACATTCCAGAATTTGATGACCAGAGCCGACTTCGTCAAGTTTTTCGTATTTTGGAGCATTGCCGAAGCCTCTGCATTAACATGCCACAGATGGCTATGCTTGGCCAGATCCCATCGCAAGCTAAGCTTGTGTGGGAAGTGGCACCTGTTCCTATCGGCCGCACTCCGTTTCGGGAAGTGGAGTCTTTGCAGCCACTTATGGGCATGGCGTTTTTCAAACTTCAAATTTCATCCTTCGAGCTGTGGGAAGCGGGCGAACGACCCAGCCTGAGAGGATCGACCAGTAGCACTCCCGAGGAGCACGGGTTCGGGTACAGGCCCATCGTGCGTGCTACCGACCCCCGAGCTGTGGAAGGCAGGCGAAGGATCTGGGTCGACTTGCGCAATCGAGGTCGAAAAGCTTAAGCGCAGCGCCGCACTGCAGCGCAGGGGAGACGGACTCCGGTACCGGGCCCATCGTCAATGCCGCCGACCCCCGATCTGTGGAAAGCGGGCGAACAGGGTTTTAGGGTGTAGGGTTTGAGATTTTGAAGACAAGCCAAATGCCCGAAACGCTACAAAGCTCGGAGCACCAAGTGTTTCAGTGGCATGGCACGTGTCGGGCCTTTGCACGGTACTTCTTGGCGATGCGATCGTTCTCGGCGATCTGGCGCTCATTCTCCTTTTCAGGTTGCGGCTTGTGGTTTTCCTCTGGTTTTAGACTAGTTTTTAAGATAGGGAGAAAAAAACAAGTGTGAGATATCTGCTTTTGGGTAGTTGTAGGGTTCAAGATTAGGGTTCTAGCGTTGTTTCAGATCTCCGTTATTGTTTAGCCTGAATATAGCCCTGCGGCTCATCGAAGTATGTTCCGACTAAGTTGACGGAAACCCGAAACTTTAACCCCTCAACCCTGTCACTGCTTTGGTCCAGGCGGCCAAATCTTTCAGCGAAAGGGGTCGAGCCTGGGCGTCGCGAGACATCCGTTGTGGAACAGGGCGGAGAGGCGCTTTGGGGTTTGGGTTAACTATATTCTATCTATTGGTTCCCAGAGGAGTTGGGGGTGCTATATTCGGAGTCAGGCTCCTTCCCCCCGACAAGAGGACACCCCAACTCTCTCAACACGGGCATGGCTTGGGCGGCCACAGCGTTCCACGCAAAGGGTCGAACCTGGGCGCAGGAAGCAGAGGGAGGCGCAAAGCATGAAACACCGGAGGCGAGCTCCCAGCCCCAAAGGCCAAGGGCACGCCTTCCTTCAGGCCCGGCATGCTGGGGACCTCACTGCATGGCTGCTCCACTAACACGAATGTTTATGTTGCATCAGTGCCGCTGCTGATAAGTCCCCGGCACGAGGTCGGGACATGTAGGCACGGTACGGTAGCACGACTACGAAGTTAAAGGCTTTGAGCTGAGTTGGAGCGGCGAATTCTTTTAGACGCCATACAGCATCGACGTCCTGGTTGGAGGAGGTTAACCCCATTCGCTTTCGAGGAGCGAAGCAATGCTCACACATGCGGAACATCCCTCTCTCTTAGGATCGACTATAACTCATGTCCAATTGCTGTTCACATGGAGCCCTTCTCCACTTCGGCGAAGTGTGTAAGCCGACCCCCGGCACGGGGGAGGCGTTAGTCAAGAGTCCTCCACCTCCTCAGCCATCTCCGGCACCTTTACCCATTTTTGCCTCCGAGCCCATCACCACCGCCGCCCCGCCCCCTTCAACAAGTATTAGTTGAGTTACTATACATCATATATATTTATGTAAAAGGGACCCTTAGGATATAGTTGCGTGCGCGTAATCCGACCCCCGGCATGGGGGAGGCGTTAGTCAAGAGTCCCGCCTTCCTCAGCCTTCTCTGCGCTATCCGCACCCCTTTCTGGACCTGAGCCCATCAGCACCGCCACCTCCTCCCGCGCACCGCCTCTGCTTGAGACCTAATATAATATTGTATTTTTCCTCACCTTTAGAGTCCTCCCGCAACCCCAGATTTCCTGGAGCGCCATACCTAACCCAGACTCCTCCCAACCCCAGAGTCTCCTGGAATGCCTGACCCCAGAAGCTCTAAGGTGGGGATGTTTGAAGTAAAATATTTTTCGCATTTTGACAGCAGCCTGTGAAGACTAAACACAAATAGCTAGGCTTTTGTCGCGGCACGCCTCAGGGCGGCCGCAACTGAATTTTCGGTGTCAGACTCCGGCTCGCCTGAGGGCGGCCGGGTTGTCGCGGCACGTTCAAGGCTGGCCGCGACTAGATCTTCGGTGCCAGACCCCGGCTCGCCTGAGGGCGGCCGGGTTGTCGCGGCACGCTCAAGGGCGGCCGCGACTGATTCTTGGGTCTTAGCACCCGGCTCGCCTGAAGACGGCTGGGCTGTCGCGCCAGGCGCACGCGGCCGATAAGAAAATATTGTTCTGTTCAACTGATTAGAAATATAAAATAGGGCGGTTCAGAAATACTAAATTTTTAGAGACAACTTATTTGAAAATCTGGTACTATTGAACCACGTTGTTTTACGCAACAGTGCGAAATTTTCAGATACAACCTCTAGGAAAATCTGGTACTGTTGAACCGCCTTGTTCTAAAGGAAAAAGACGGTGCAACAGTGAAATTTTTCATATACAATTTCTAGGAAAATCTGGTATTATTGAACCACGTTGATTCAAAGGAAACAGGGCGGCGCAACAGTACAGAGACAACCCCTAGGAAAATCTGGTATTGTTGAACCGCATTGCTTTAAGAAAACAAGGCGGTGCAACAGTAGTATTTTTTAGAGACCATTTCTAGGAAAATCTGGTACTGTTGAACCCACTTGTTTTAAAGCAAACAGCGCGGTTCAACTGTACCACATAATCAGAGACATTCTTTAAAAACTCTTTTTGTACTATTGAGCCGCTTTGTTTTAAATGAAAGTAGACGGTTCCTTCTCATGAACCCTACTGTGCTTCAACTTCAAAAATGATCTTGTTTAGGTAAATCCGTTTCTTCTTTTTGATCATATCTAATTTCTGTAAACTCTGACCTCATGAATTTTATTGAAAACATGAAAACAAAGATCTGCGTTTTTTTGAGAGGCGGAGGCTTGTTAGCTAAAACTCTAAATTCGAAACCTTACAAATAAATCTTATGAAATCTAATCGACATGTCTGCCACCTTGCTGCGCGACCTCCACTCAGCTATGCAACCTGCAAATAAAAAAATGTTAGCACCACGGGAGTGTGCTTTTTAGGGCATCATTCAGATAACTCTTTGAGTCTTTCTGATCCCTTAGTGTTCTGAATCTCGTACCCCTGGCTGTCTGACTGTGGTCCTCAATGCAGCGCTGTCTTCCGTCTGAGAGTCGCGTCACGTGATGTGCTTTGCCGATTGGCAGTAAAATCATAATTCTCATGCTGCTATGTCAAGACTTCCTATGAAGAACTTGTGAAATTCACACACAAGCAAAGGCTTGCATTTTGGACTTGCAGATGAAAAATCTGTCACAGGGAGAAATGCGGACCTTAGCATTCGCTAAGATACCTAGCTGTGGGAGCCCAGGATCTTGCTTCGCGATCCCAGCGCCACCCAACGCAAAAATTTCGGCGAGCCCCTACAGGGTGTTTCTCGTCCGCTTTCACCCAACCGGTGATAAGACGGACAGGGCCACCCAAGGAGTACTCCAAACGCACGAGTTTACCGCTTGTTAGGGAGTCTACCCTGACGACGACGCCGGTGAAACGCTCATGCGGGTCCAGAGAACTCAGGTCTCGCTCCGGGGGCTCATCAAGACCTCAAGCCAATAACAAAAACGTATATGGAAATTTCAGAACGACATTTCGAAAGCGCACGCTATCGCCTTGCAGCCGCTCGATGGCTAAGCCAATGTGACGGTGCAGCGTGGTTTCCGTGTTGATGCACAGACTCAGAACCTGGAGCAAAAAAAACGCCATAAATGTATGAAACGAACAAAATTTATTTCAGCAAGGCCTCGTCGAAGATTTCTGGTGTGTATTGCACCAACTGGCGACCAAACCAGTCAGCTGGAATGGCCACTGGTTCTCTCAGAGCAGCAACAGACTCAGTCCATTTGGCCTGGCGCACTGAGTGCAGATACAAGAACTTTGATGAACTGCAGGCGTTGCCTTGATCATGTCCAACAAGAACTGTTGCTGCTCCGTGGTGGTCCGCTGCATTTGCGGGGTCCTGTTTTTTTCATTTGTTTCAAAATAAATGTTTTTGTGAAAAGAATAAGATTTCTCTGTGCTGCTAAGCAGCTTGGCCCACTTAGCCAATCGGCTGTGCCACGCTTGTAGAAGTGCCAAGAGAGCAACGCG